ATATATTAAATAGTATATAAAGAGAGAAGCGCAATCAACAAAGTTTCATTTCATATGAGAAATATTGAAATATTATGAATTATATTAAGCTTTGTCTTATTGTATTTAGTATATGAGGTGTTATCATGTCACTTAATTAAATTTGCAACAAAAACATTCCTTTCCAATTGATAGACAGCTGGAATATATTATTTACTTTTAATTAGAAAGAATTGAACTACAACACAATTTGGGCAGGAAACTATATATAGTATTGCCCTATACTGATTTACACTGATTTACACTGATTTATACTCTATGCATTTCAGCATCTATTCAATTCAGACTACGCCTGTGCAGGGTATTTAAGTGTGTTGTATATCATATTATTACTGCAACTGCATGTGCTTTGATTACTTTGATTACTACCCATGCCACATATAATCTGGCAGCTCTGATCTCTCTTTCTCTTTGCCTGGCTCCTTTCTCTCAAATTAGCAATTTGTATGCAAGTTCGTGGTCGTTGTTAAATTTAAACTATGTCAGTGCATTGGGGCAATGCGTGTTAAATATAAAATGTGTGATTAATTTTTGAACTGCGCAATTGACAGGTAGCGTGAAAAAAAGTGCCATACGGTGCATTAACCACACACCCACCGCCCAGAGCGCAGTAATAAAAGTTAAATGCAAAAATAAACTAGAAACAAAGCAACAGCGAAATAGATTTGAAAAACAAAAACAAAAAACAAAAAATGAAAATACAAATAAATAAACCGTAAATAGAAATCTCGTCGTGCATATTAAGCGAGCTGCGTTGAGGTTGGTCATAAGGCGCGACTTTCAAAACACGAAAATATATATGTAAATAGGAATATAATAATAAAATACAAAACATACGGTAACGCAACCACAGTGGCATTGAAAGCGAACCACCCAACCACTCAGCCACCCAACCACCAGCAAGCCGGCAATTTGTTGAGTGCGTGACTGATTTCCAGGCCAAACCGAGTGAAAATAGTTAGCCAACAATTAACGAGCCCTAAACACTATGAATACAAGTCGAATGCTCAAATGCTCTATGAAATGAAGGAAAATTGATTATGGCAAATGTTAAGACTGACTTTTGGCTAGTTTTTTGGCAAATTAAATGAACCCCTCTGCAAAAAGGTGGAATCATTTCTTTTGATTTCTTACTTAGCTAGTTTTTAGGCGTAATAGTTGTATTGACAATCTGGGAGACTAACACAGAATAACAATTTTTTAATTTAAAAAATTTTAATTTTTTTAAATTTTTTATTTTAGTATAGATGATTAGTATAGATAGTTCGCAGATGATATATTGTAGTAGAATGGCGAAACCATTTTATCAACAGGCAAGATTAGATATGAGAACAGGCATAAGTCACATTGGGCCAGGTCGTATGAATACTATTTATGGATGAGGAAGCAATACGAAGCCCTATTAATAAAAATTTCTAAATAGATTTTACTGATTTGTCACATGGTGCATTTGGTCTGTTGTCAAAATAAAATCAAAATATTCATGTGAAGTTTCAAGATTATTACAAAGTACTACAAAAAGTCGACTCTTCTGTAGAATTACCCATATTCAAAAGGTTTCATTGATCTACTATGAGTTTCTGTAATTTTGATTAACTTCACCAACTGTTTTTTTGCGGATCTGTGTTTTTGATTTGTCTTTTTGGGACTGCCACTGCTTGCATTGCTTTTAGTGTTCAGGAATGCTTGATTTTTCTAGTGAAAAGTCCGAATAAGAAGTCAAGACTTTTTTGAACAGTATTTTGTTTCTCGACAAAAACTGTTTTTAATAACATGCAAAGTTGATTTAATAGCATTAGTGAAATTTTACTTTTCAGTTAAAGGCCATTTTAACAGACTATTAACAATAAAAACAATTTAAATTGTAAGTGTAAAAATTGTGAGCTTGAAGCTCAAATAAAAAATGCTTGAAATAAATAAAATTTGCATATTTGAGTAATGAATACAAATTTTTCAATTTTGGCATGGCTATGCGAAATGAACATACTTCAGTTTCCATTGAAGTCTTTTGATTTATAATATGAAACACCCTTTGTTTAACCTTTAACTATGTGACACTATAAAAAAAAAAAAAAAAAAAAAATAAATAAATATAGATAATATTTGCTTAAGCTAAGTATTGCTCTTGGCTTTCGTCTGCCTCTTCTTCCGTCTGATTTGGCTCAAATAAAATCTCGATCGATCGCCTTGAATTTCAGTTTCAAAGTGTGCTTATTATGGCCTCATAAATGAAGAGTCTGCTGAGACTGTCCGCTCTTACAAATTCCTATTGATAATTCTATTAAATATGTAATATTCAGCATATAAATTCCTTCATCAAATTCATTCAATGTGCCGCAACTAGTTTGAACTTCAACTTTTTATGTGTTGGTATAAATTGAGTTGCACTTGGAGTCAGCTAAATATCTCCAGAATTTAATATGGCCTTCACTCACACACCCATTCACATTCAACGCTCACACTCTCTTCTCTTTTATAGGGTGCTCAGCTTTAAGTACGAACAGCGTCGCCTGACCACAGCCATCTACTCGGTGGTGAAGACGCAGCTGGGCTCAGTGCGCGGGGTGAAGCGGAACACGATATGGGGCGGCAGCTATTACAGCTTCGAGAAAATACCGTTTGCCAAGCCGCCGCTGGGCGAGCTGCGCTTCAAGGCGCCGGAGCCGGTGGAGCCGTGGGAGCGTGAGCTGGACTGCACCTCACCGGGCGATAAGCCGCTGCAGACACATCCGTTCTTTCGCAAGTTCGCTGGCTCTGAGGATTGCCTGTACCTGAATGTGTACGTCAAGGATGTGAGTAGAGGAGGAGGGTGCCGCCATTCAGCCAGCAGTTGCTAATTTCTACTTTGTCTTTTAACTTCTTATTTAACAGCTGCAGCCCAACAAGCTGCGTCCCGTGATGGTCTGGATATATGGGGGCGGCTATCAGGTGGGCGAGGCGTCGCGGGACATGTACAGCCCGGACTTCTTCATGTCCAAGGACGTGGTGCTGGTGAGCATAACTTATCGGGTGGGTGCGCTGGGCTTCCTCAGCCTCGAAGATCCGGCGCTCGATGTGCCCGGCAATGCCGGCCTCAAGGATCAGCTGATGGGCCTGCGCTGGGTGCACGACAACATCGAAGCCTTCGGCGGCGATCCCAACAATGTGACGCTGTTCGGCGAGAGCGCGGGCGGCGCTTCCACACATCTGCTTTCGCTCAGCCCCCTGACGGAGGGTCTTGTGCACAAGGCCATCATCATGTCGGGGAGCGCGCTGTGTCCTTGGACGCAGCCTCCGAACAACCAGTGGACATATCGGCTGGCACAGAAGCTGGGCTATACGGGCGAGCAGAAGGATCGGGAAATTTTCCAGTTCTTGCGCGCCGCCAAGGGCGGGGACATTGTCAAGGCAACGGCCCAGGTGCTCAACAAGGAGGAGAAGCACCACCGCGTTCTGTTCGCCTTCGGACCAGTCGTGGAGCCCTACAAGACGAAGCACACGCTGATCGCGCAGCCGCCCTACGAGCTGATGCAGAAGACCTGGAGCCGGCGCATTCCCATGATGTTTGGCGGCACCAGCTTCGAGGGGCTGCTCTTCTATCCAGGTGCGTCGAATGAGTTTAGATGTGACTTCTGTTTAACCTAATCTTTGCCTTGCAGAGGTCATGCGTCGTCCCGCCACCTTGGATGAGGTCGGCGACTGCCAGAATGTGCTGCCCATTGATCTGGGCGAGAATCTGGACCCGAAGCTGCGCGAGAGCTATGCGTTGCAGCTGAAGCGCGCCTACTTTGGCGATGAGCCGTGCAACCAGGCCAACATGATGAAGTTCCTCGAACTGGAGTCCCATCGCGAGTTCTGGCACCCCATCTACCGGGCCGTGCTCTCCCGACTGCGTACGGGCAGCGCTCCCACCTACCTGTACCGCTTCGACCACGACTCCAAGCATTGCAATGGCATACGCATTGTGCTCTGCGGCAATGAGATGCGTGGCGTTTGCCATGGCGACGATCTCTGCTACATCTTCCACAGCATGCTGTCCAATCAGGCAGCGGCGGGCTCACCCGAGCACAAAATCATCAGCGGCATGATAGACATCTGGACGAGCTTTGCGGCAAATGGGGATCCCAACTGCGAGAGCATCAAGCAGCTCAAATTTGCGCCCCTGCAGGATGAGACGAAGGTCGAGTGCCTGAACATTGGGCAGGACTTCGAAGTCAAAATGCTGCCCGAGCTGCCGAAATTGCACCTCTGGGATGGCTTCTATGCTAGGAACATCCTTTGAGCTCTCGTCTAGTTGTGGGTCGTAATTGGTTTTATAGCTTTAGCTAACATGAATTTAAGGTCTTGCTTTTAACGCATGTAAATATCTTGTGTATATATACGTATATGTAATACATCCTACGAGAATTAGTGTTTTAATTTTTTTTTGTAATGAGTTGTGCTTAATTAAGCTTGGTTTGCTTCAAGCAAAGGCAAGCGAAATTGTAATATGAAATCTTCATATGTAATTTATAGTTTTGCTTTAAGTTTTCTATGAATTAAAAAGCAAATTGAAAATCAACTTAAGCTGGGCTATGTTAACTGACTGTTACGTGACTGTAGTGTAATTGTTAAGTTTAATATGCAATGCGGTAGAATGAAATCACCTAAGCAGACAGTTCTAGTAAGACAATGTTAAATAGATATATTATTTGTTGTCGAGACTGTAAAGTAACTGTTAAGCAAAGTATGCAATGTAGTAGAATGAAATATATTTTTAACTCCACTTTGCAGTCCCAGGTCTAGTAGAACAATGTTAGCTAGCTCGAATATGTTAACTGCCAGCTGGCAGACTGTAAACTAACTGTTAAGCTTAATGTGCAATGAAGTAAAATGAAAATTACTTGAATTAAACTTAGCGATCAGTTCTAGTACAGCAATGTTAATTAGCTCCAATCTGTTAACTGGTAGTTGGGTCACTGTGAACTAAATGTTAAGTTTAATATGCAATTTAATAAATGAACTAATGTAGTAGACATATAGAGAACCGACGTTAACTAGCTTCAATCAAGTATTTAAACTGGTTAATGTTGATTGACTGTTAACAGACTGTAAATGTATTAGAATTAAACATAGCTTGAGTTTCTAGCATAGCAATGCTAACTGGCTCCATTCTGTTAACTGGTTGTTGGGTCACTGTAAAGTAACTGTTAAGTATAAATTTTAAGTTCTTTGTGCACAATTCTGGCACAACAATTTTGCCTTGAAAAGCAAAGTCCCATTTCAACTGAGGTCCATTTTAACTAAGGTCCTTAGGTAAGCTGATACAAAAGTTTGTTAATTTAAATTGATGTCGGTTAGCTAACTAATTCGTTAGTCATTTAATTGAAATTTGTCTGCTGCTTTTAATTTTCAATGGTTAGAACGACTTTTCACCCAAGCTGACAACTAAGTTTTTCGTCAACTGTCTGTTATTTGGCCCGACTGCGTGCACCGTTTGCTGCTGTTATGTGTCTTCCCACATACCTGTACCCGCACTTACACACATGCACACACACCCACCTGCTCTCTCGTGTGTCACACATTTATGTGTGTAAGCCGATGCTTGACAATCAAAGGGTACAACACAACGGCAACAATTTCCGCAACGCGACCGCCAACAACGACCCCAGAGAGTGAGTGGAACTGGGCAAAATAAAATTCCATTAAAATTTGTGCAAGTTTTTAATCTGTTTTTTTTTTTGCCCGTTATTTTTAGGACATGCCAAAATGTTTGTGTGGTAAATCCAAAAGGGCTGCTCACGTCGACCCAGGTCCTGGCGCGTATCCTGCACGACGTGAAAATTTCATTTGTCGACGCGTCGTGCAGCAAGTCGTAGCTGCTGCACAGTTTTTATTATTTTTCGTGCTTTACATATTTTTTAACCAATTTTTTATTTTTTATTTTATTTTCGGCGAGCTCTCTAGATCCGGGTTATGGTTGGGACATGCCGCTGGGTGTGTTCCCCGCATGTTGGTCATGTGCGCAGCGTGTAAAAATGGGCGTGAACTCAATAAATTAGAATTTTTTAGTGGGAGATTTTCGTGTATTTTTTATTTTACTTTTCCCGGAATCGTTTCGCTGCTGCATTGGTATAAATGTTTAATGCTGCGCTCTTTGATTAAATATTTCTGCGAGTCCTTTATTATTTAAGACGTCTGCACTATGAGTAAATGATGCGGAAGCTGTTTTTGCTGAGCTCGAAATGTTATTAAAAAAGAACAATCTTAAATGAAAAAGTTTGGATAAATAGTTGAAGTTTTAGCTTTTGGGATTTCTTTAAATTTAAGTTTATAAATCTGAAAAGTAATTTTTCATATTTTACTATTATTAAATATTGTTATGTTTTATTTTTCTTTAAACTCTTTATTTTTAATTTTATTTATTTATTTTTTTCCTTACATTCTTATAATTTTTTTCTTCCTATTCCCATTCTTATATATAGAAATATTTTTTAAAATAATAATTTAATATTCGGTTTTACATGAATTCATGTCTTATTTTAGTTGATTTAAAATAATTTTTTT